AATTGCAAAATATGTGCAAGCTAAGCAGCCACCTCTAAATAATCCATAGACTAAAGAAGAGATCACAAAGAAAATTAGAAAACATTTTTAGCTGAACAATAACAAAAACAATATATCAACATTTCTGTGACGTAGTTACAGCAGTGTCTAGGAGGAAATTATTGCTTTAAATACTTGTATTAGAAGAGAGGAAGGGTTTAAAATCAATGATCTGATCTTCCACCTTAAGAAGTTAAAAAAAGAGAATGGCAATTAAACCCAAAGAAAGGAGAAGGAAGGAAATTGTAAAGGAAAAAAAAAAAGGTAAATGAATTAGAAAATGGAAGAATACTAGAGTTCCAATTTAATTTCACGGTGATCAGAAATACCCCCTCTATGGTTTCAGTCCTTTAAAATTTGTTAAGATTGACTTTATGGCCTAGGGTAATGGACTGTTTTAAGAAATGTCCCATGTGCATTTGAAAAGAATGTGTGTTCCACAGTTGTTGGTTGTCGAGTTTTTCAAAGTCAGGTCTATATCCTTACTGATTTTTTGACTGCTTGTTCTATCAGTTACTAAGAGAGAAGTGTTAAAACCTCTAACTTCGATTGTGGATTTATCTACTTTTCTTTTAGTTCTATCACTTTTTGATTAATGTATTTTGAAGCAATGTTACTGCATACATACATATTTAGGATTGTTATGTCTTCCTGATAAACTGACCCTTTTATCTTTATAAATCTTTTATCGCTGTCAATCTTCTTTATCTTGAGTACTACTTTTTCTAATATTAACATAGCCACGCTGGCTTTCTTATGATTAGTGATTGCATGGTGTATCTTTTACCATCGTTTTTCTTTCAATCTATCTCTGTCCTTATGTTTAAAGTGTAATCACTCTCTCTTATAATCAGTATTTTCACTCTTACACTATTTTCTTTTTAAATGGAGCAGTATAAACCATTTCCACTTAAGGTGATTGTTGAGATTGGCTGGGTTTAAATCTACCATCTTTCCCTTTGTACCATCTGTAACTTGTTTCTTTATTTCTCCTTTCCTACTGTACTAGTCTGTTCCAGCTGCCAAAAAACAATACCACAGACTGGATGGCTTAAACAACAGAAATTTATTTTCTCACAGTTCTGGAGGCTAGAAGTCCAAGATCAGGTTTCCGGCCAACTCCTTTTCTGGTGAAGGCTCTCTTCTTGGCTGCAGGTGGCTGCATTCTTCCTGTGTTCTCATAAAGCAGAGCAAGAGCTCTTGTTTCTCTTCCTCTTCTTATAAGGGCACCAGCCCTATTGAATTAGGGCCCCACCTTTATGACCTTATTTATCCTCTGTCACCTCCTTGCATGCCCTATCTTTAGTTACAGTCACAGTGGGAGTTAGAGCTTCAACATATAAATTTTAGGGGGACACCTAAAGGATCTGCCCTCTTTTGAATTATTCAAGTATTTTCAGTATCCCATTTTATCTCCTCTACTGGATTTTAAGCAACGGTTTCTCTAGTGTTACAGTATGTATCCTTTTACATATATAATATATCCAATAATTATTTTTGCTTTGAATAGTCAGTAGTCTTTTAGTGAAATGAAAAGCCTAGTTGATAATGTTTATCCACAAATTTAGTGTTTACAGTGCTCTTCATGCCTTCTTGCACATTCAGGTTACCACATGGGATTATTTCCTTTCAGAAACGTTCATTTGCCTATTACCAGAATAGGCAACCATCATTTCTTATGGAAGCTTCGTCTAGTATTTGCTCACTATGAAAGGTCTTAACTCTTTCTAGAATTGGTTCATTTAGCTTTCTTTGTCTTCAGAGTTCTCTAATATCTTTAAGGAGAAATATGAATTTTTAATTTAACCAGTTTTGTTTTTTCTTTTTCTTTTTTTTGACTAGGAATGAAAGTCTTCCTGTTCAGCAGCTGAACCTCCTTTTCAGGCTGTTTATTTTTCTTACACTTTCACGCTTCCAACTTCATTCAGCCTGGAGAACATCCTTTAATATTTCTTGAAGTATGTGTCTGCTGGCAATAAATTCTCTCAGCTCTAGTTGTGTGGAAATGTCCTTATTTTACCTTCATTTTTTAAAATGAATTTTCAATGGGTATAGAATTCTTTTTTTTATAATTTTATTTATTTATTTATTTTTTCCCCCAAAGCCCCAGTAGATAGTTGTACGTCATAGCTGCACATCCTTCTAGTTGCTGTATGTGGGACGCGGCCTCAGCATGGCCGGAGAAGCGGTGCGTTGGTGCACGCCCGGGATCCGAACCCGGGCCGCCAGCAGCGGAGCGCGTGCACTTAACCGCTAAGCCACGGGGCCGGCCCTAGAATTCTAAATGGGTAGTTTTTTCAGGTCAATACTCTGAAGATATCATTCCACTGGATTGTAGCTTCCATAGTTTCTATTGAAAAGTCAGTGATAATTTTTAATATTCTTCTTCTGAAGGTAATGTGTCTTTTTTCACTTGTTGCTTTTAAGATTTTCTCCTTATCTTTAATTTTCAGCCATGTGGCTTTGATATGCCTAGGTGAATTTTTCTTTGTATTTATCCTGCTTGGTATTGGACGAGTTGCTTGAATCTGTGAGTTGATGTCTTGGATCAGATATGGAAAATTCTTTACCAGTACTTTTTAAAATATTGTTTCTGTAACATACTCTCTCTCCTCTTCTGGAACTTCTGTTCATGTCCCACATCTCTTTCACATTCTGTTCTTTCAATTTTTCCCCTCTCTTGTGTTTCAGTTTAAATATTTTCAATTGATGTGTTTTCAGTTCCACCTATCATGTCTTCTGCTATGTTCAGTCTGCTCTTAAACCAATTCAGTGAGTTCTTAATTTCAGATATTGATGTTTTGTAATTCTAGAAGGTTCATTTGATTCTTTATTATAGATTTTAATTCTCTTAAATAGAAATAATGCATCTTTTAATCTATTTTGTCTACCTTTTTCTGTTTTCTTTAACATGTTGATCATAGTTATTTTGAAGTTTTTGTCTGCCAAAAATAGAAACATCTTTGAGTCTGTATCTATTGAGTATATTTTTTCTCCTGATTATTGGTTATTTTTTCATGCTTCTTTGCATTTCTATTAATTTTTAATTTTATGCTGGATATCATAGATGATATCTTGTAGAGGCTTGTCTGCTTACAAACAGTATTAAGTTTTGATCTGGCAGGCAGTTAAATTACTGGTAGATTACCTTGATCTTTTTGAGGCCTGATTTTAGGTTTTCTTAGGGCAAGTCCATTTCTGTTTTGTCCTTAATCCTAGAGTGTAGCTGTAATCCTATGGCAACTCCTATGGTGTTTCATTTATCCTAGAGCATGGCCTTTCCGCCTGAAGTATGGAGTTATACCTGAATGCCCAGGGTATTCGTCAAAGTCTGTCTATTCTGGCTGTGTCCAAACACCAATTGTCTCTCCCCAGAACTATGCAAGCTTCATAATTTCTCATCAGTTCTCACATGTACTGTTGTCCTCTGTTGGCCTCTTGGAGTCTCAGCTAAAATTGTGGGGTCCAGGAGTTAGCTGAGCATTAAAGGGGAATTTCCATTAAGACTTCTGGGGTTGCCTCTCTGAGGCTTCCCTTCTTGACAGCCACTCTCCCTCAAATCCTGGCCACTTTTGCATTTATAATCTCCAATCTCTGCCTTTTCTACCCAGTGAGACCACCCCTCCTTGCACTGTGGCTTGGCCTGGAAAATGTCCCCAGTGAGAGAACCTGGGTCGATGTGGAACTGTGATAATGGGTTGGCCGAGTAATGCTTACTTCATATCAGCTACTTATGTTTTCTTGCAAAATTTGCTTAGATCTTCTGCCTTATTCACATACAGATACTTTTTAGGGTAAAGCTCACCTTTTACCCAATATTAGAGAGTTAATGAAGGTTTACTGTAGGCCAACTACTTTTCATGTACTTGATCTCTTTTAATCTCCATGAAAAGCACACAAGAAATAATCATTATAATACTTCTGTAGTGTTACCAAGTGCCATGCATTGTTCTGAGCATTTTATACATCTGTACTACACATACTCATTTAATCCTCACACCAACCCTATAGATACATACTATTATCATTCCAACTTTACAAACGAGGAGTCTCAGAAACTATAGAGGCCAAGTAACTTTCACCCTAAAATACACAGTATGTAAATGGTAGAATTCAGATTTCAAACCTAGGCAGTCTGGCTTCAGAATTTGTGCTTTTAGCCACGTCACTGTTGGTGGTATCGTTCTCATTTTAAAGATAAGGAAACTGAGCTTTAGAGAGGTTAGGGGATCTCCCCAAGGTCTCAGTGCTAGTAAGTGGCAGCACTAGGATTTGAACCAGCTTCCAAAGCCTTTGCTCTTTCCTTTATACCATAGTTCCTCCCAAAGATAGAGAGAAAAAAATGGTATCCCTTTTAGGACTTTAGTTTAAAAGAATTTTGTGGGGACTTAGAGGGAACTTAACAGCTTCCTTTTGTTCTTAATGAAGATGATATCTTCTTATGCATATAGTTTGCTGGCTGTTTATGACCAGGCACTGGAGGGGAGTTCTTTTTCCCATTGACGTGTTATTTCTGAACACCTCTAGGACTGACTCCTAGGGAAGCATACTGGTACCTCCGAGAATGTCAGTCTTGGCAGTGGAAAGATGGCAGAGCTCAACTTTGAGGTCCTCTGCCTACACTGGGATGTGTGATGCTCAACTGACACGTGCATCTTCCTTTAGGTAGGAGTGTGTGTGCTCCTTGGGTGTTTCATACATTTGCCAGCCGTTAACAGAGCCCTTGAGAGGGTTTGAGACACCAAGTATTTCTGTTTTGTTAAGGCTGGCAGACTGAGATGAGGAGAGGAAGTTGGCTCCTTTGTCAGGGAAGTCAGACCCAGTTATTCCCTTGTGCCATGCAGAGTGTTTACACTTGAGCCTGGAGTGCCACAGAGGCTGTAGAATGTATTCTGCTGAGGGAGCCACCCAAAACCCAAGTGTCTCACCTGGTCTCTGATACTGACCATCCTTTTTTGCAGTGTGGAGGCTGCCAGCATCGGATTCATCATTGTCATCGACAGACGAAGGGACAAGTGGAGCTCCGTGAAAGCATCCTTGACACGAATAGCTGTAAATATTTGTTTTTGTGCTATTGTTATAAAAGTAATTTAAATCATCTAATCAACTATTTCATATCAAAGTCATGGGGAAAAGGCAATTATTTTATGCCAAATTTTGGGGAGGTTTTTGTAGCAGAGGCTGTTGTGTCGTGTCCATATCCCGTCTGCCACCTGGAGGTCATTGCAGACAATTCCTGAGCATGTCAAAGGCTTCCTGAGTCTCTCTACCTTATTGACCTCTCTGGTCACTGCAGAGGGGCAGGTAGGGAGTGCTGGGAAGTTAATGTCCCAGGAGTGACCTGAAACTATTGAGTTGTGGGAGTTGGTGGATAAATACTCCTCAATGGGGCAATTGTGAGATATGTTCCACACAGTATCTCAGAGGGTCCCAGCCCTTCTTGCCCATACCAGTGCCCCCTCATTGGTACATTCGCTTTCTAGCCATCACTATCTCACCCTCCCTCCCGCCCTGACTCCCTCACTGTGTTTTCTGGAAATACCTCCTCAATAAACTCTTTATACCCAGATCCTTGTCTTAGGGTTTGCTTAGGGGTCACCCAATATAAGACAGTCTTCATTTCAGTATTCAAGTTATTTTTTCTGGCAAAACCAGACAAAATGATATGATATGTGCTTGCTTTTGACGTTAAATTATCCAAACAACCTTGGATGAGTTTCCTTTTCCCTCTAATTATTCTGATTTTGATCCCTGTTTGTTGCCTTTCAGCAAGTAAATGTATCCTTTCTCTGTAGGCACCTCAGACAGGGATCTCAGCCACATGGGCAGGCAGAGACACCTCAGGACCAGCCACACCAGCATTTCCACCAAAGCATGGACTCCCTGGGGCAGTTGGCACTGGTGGAAGAGGGTGGGATATGTAGGGTGGTAATGTGTGTGGAGGCTCAGACGGGAGAGGGACATTTGAAGCCTCACTTGTGCCTACTTACAGAAGCAGTCATACATACAGACGTGCACATAGAGTCTCTCTCAAAGCCCTTTAGAGCCTCAGCCAGAGACACAAATAGTGTCTCAGCTCACACATCCTGTTACAACAGAACAAAATGCAAGGTTCTTCTGTTTAGGAGCTTGCATTTCAAAGATGGGGGAAGGGAAGTCTTCCTTCCCTTTGTACGTGGATTGTTTTGTCCCTTTGGTTCAGTTTTGGTTATAGGATTTATTTTGGGGGTAACTAAAATGATGGTTGATGCCCTGAGGATTTAGACACTTAGTGCCCATGACTATTTCAGAGGACTGGCCTCTAGAGAATTCTGGTTTCCCAGAGTCCATAGACAATACTTGAATAATTTAATACTTGAGCCTAATTTGTCCAAGAATTGCATTGATTATGTTATGCATAAAAGATACTGTAGTTCAGGGATCCCAAAACCTGGCTACCAATCAGAATCTCTTCATGTGCTTGTTAAAATACTGAAACCTGGACTTCATCCCAGTCCTAATAAATTGGAACATTCTAGAGCAAAGACCAGATTAATTTTTTAACAAGCGTGTCAGGAAGTTGCTTTTTGGAATCACTGGAAGAATGGAAAGCCATGAGCAATGGGAAACTTGGATTCCCAACTTTGCCACTAAGTTGTGATATGAATCTGATTATCTCGTTTCTCAGAACCTCACCTCAAGATGAGGGCCATGCTTCCTGAAAGCAACCTAGCAATAATATGCATCAAGAGCCCTTAAAATACTAAGTCTTTGACTCAGTAATTCTTTTAAGAAGCTATTCTAAGAAAATGTTCCAGGGCCGGCCCCGTGGCTTGGTGGTTAAGTGCGCGCGCTCCGATGCTGGTGGCCCGGGTTCGGATCCCGGGCGCGCACCGAGGCACCACTTCTCCGTCCATCCTGAGGCCGAGTCCCACATACAGCAACTAGAAGGATGTGCAGCTATGACATACAACTATCTACTGGGGCTTTGAGGGGAAAAATAAATAAATAAAATCTTAAAAAAAAAAAAAAAAAAGAAAATGTTCCAAAATGTGGATAAAGATGTTCATTTCAGTGTTATGTATAATAGTAAAAATATGGCAAAGCCTAAATCACTAGCAGTAAGGGATTGGTAAAATAAATTATGCACCCATGAAAAATAATATTTCCAAAGAATTTCAAATAACAAGAATAAAAACTCATGGTATAATATTTAAGTGAAGAAGCAGCTTACAAAATATTTATATAGTATGAGTTTAACCACGATAAAGATATTTAATCAAAGAAAATAGCCTACAAGTATTTAGATTGAAATATTAAAAATGGCTATGAGATTATGAGTGGTTTTCTTTTTCTAATGTATACTTTTCCTAATTTCCCAATTTTTCTATAAAGAATATGAGTTATTTTTATAATCAGTAACATTTTTTGTTTGTTTGTTTAGTTCTGGTTTGGTTTTTAAGGAGGAGTTCGAATTTTCTGACCTCTGAGATCTCTTTCAGCTCTGAATCCTAAGAAATGTATTCTAATTCTTTGGCATTCATGGTGTCCACTTTAACTTTCTCATCTGTGATCTTGGGCAAGAGGAGACCAATGGATGTGACATTTTCCCTGACACTTTTGTGATCCTTCTAGGTAGCATTTCCAGGAAACTTGCAGCTCATATTCATTCTTCGTCCATCTTGCTTTATCCAGAGGACATTCACTGACATTGGCATTAAATTCTATCGAAATGAATTTAAAATGAAAGTGCCGGTAAGCATGACCTTTCATCTTGTCTTCATTTGGTTCTGGCATGCGTAGAAGATGGCATCTGAGTTGGGTTTCTAAGGAAGGTAGGACTCCACAGGTACAGAGGGAGAGGAGGTTATCTGCCCAGAGGGGATAGCATGTGTAAGGACGTGGAGGCAGGAAGTATACACTTTATGTGAGGTCCATGGGGAAGCCCCATTCTTATTAGAGTACATATAGGGTAATCTTTTGGAGTACATATAAGATAATCTTTTGGAAGAAAAGGTAGGAAACATGAAATAGGTCTTAAGTATAAGGATAAAGGGTCTGGATTTTATTCAGTAGGCAATGGGGATCTAGTGAAGTTTTTTGAGTTGGGGAGTGACTTGGGTAAAGTGGTGCTGGAGTTATATAAATGTGAAGGTGTTGTCCAAGACTGTAGAAAAAGACTGAAGGAGGAAGAGAAATTGTAAAGGTACAGATGAAAGAAAATAAGGATCTAAAATATGAGGGTGATATAAATATAGGCAACTGTAGAGTAAAAATAAAAACAAACACTGTGATAACTCATAACAAATTAAAATGCCAAGATTAAAAATTTTACCTCTAACTTTGACAGAGATGTGGGGGAAACAGGCACTTTCATACTTTGCTGATAGGAATGAAGTTGGTAATGACCAATATGAAGGACTAATTGGCAGTATTTATCAAAAATTAAAATGTACACACTCTTTGACCTTCCTATAAAAGTTATTCTACAGATACTTTCTCATATGTACACAAAGCTGCATATACAATGATATTCATTACCAAATTGTTTGTAATAGTAAATGATTGGACACAACTTACTGCCCAACAAGAGGGGACTGGTTAAATAAATTATGGTCTACCTGATCAATGAAATACTTTGCAGCCATCAAAAGTGGTAAAGTATGGTATGACCACAGTGGAAACAGTTGGCAGTTTCTTATAAAGTTAAACATACACCTACCCTATGACCCATCCAAGAGAAATGAAAACACATGTCCACAAAAAAGACATGTACAAGAATGTTCATCAATAGGTGAATGGATAAAGAAATTATGGCATATTCATATGATGGAATCACATTAAGCAATAAAAAAGAGTGAAGTACTGATACATGTAACAACATGGACACATGTCAAAAATATTCTCTTGAAAGAAAGAAGCTAGACATTAAAGAGTATATACTCTGTGATTCTTTTTTTTTTTTTTTTTGGTGAGGAAGACTGACCCTGAGCTAACATCCATTGCCAATCTTCCTCTTTTTGCCTGAGGAAGATTGTCCCTGAGCTAGCATCGGTGCCAATCTTCCTCAATTTTGTATGTGAGATGCTGCCACAGCATGACTTGACAAGTGGTGTGTAGATCCGCACCCGGGGATCTGAACCCACGAACCCCAGGCCACCGAAGTGGAGCACGTGGACTTAACCATTATGCCACTGGGCCAGCCCCTGTGATTCTTTTTATATAAAGTTCAAGAAGAGGCAAAACTAAGCTATGGTGGTAGAAAATCAAAACAGTGGCTGCTGTTGGGGTGAGGGGTAGTGGAGATTGACTAGAAGGAGGCACAAGGGAACTTTCTGAGGAGAGGTTCTATATCTTGATTGGATGGTGTTAGGTGTATATATTTGTAAAAAGTAATTGAACTACACTTTTAAAATCTGTGCATTTTATTGATGTAAATTATATCAATTGAAAAATGAAAAACAGAAAAAATAAGAAATCTATAGTGATATAGAAAAGTTTCTAATATATATTTTGGTTTTATTTTTTGTTTAGTTGGAAATAATTTCAAACTCAGAAAAATTCCAAGAATAAGAATATTACAAAGAACATTCCGTGCCCTTTACCCAGATTCATTCACTTATTGTTAACATTTTATCTTCATTTGCTTTATTATTTATTATTTGCTTCTCTCTATACGTTATTATACATCTCTATAGAAGTATACAATTCTTTCTCTCTATTATATATTATAATATGTATATTTATAGAAAGAAAAATATACATATAGAAATTATGTGTATGTGTGTATGTATGTACAGGATCCAGTCTAGGATCAGATAGTGCATTTAGTTGTCATGTCTCTTGAGTCTCTAATCTGAAACATTTCCACAGCCTTTCTTTGTCTTTTATGACATTAGCATTTTTGAATAACACAGTCCCTTAAAAAAAATAAAACATACCTCATTTGGGGCTTGTGTGATGCTTTCTCTGGGTTCGATTTTGGTTATGCATTCCCAGCTGGACTACTACTTAGGTGATGTCATGTCCTTCTCAGGGTATCACATGTGGAGACACACAGTGTTCATCTGCCCCTCATTGGTGATGTTAATTGTGATCCTCTAGTCAAGGCATTGTCCAATTTCTCAGATGTATTATAATGTTTTCCCTTGCAGGGGAATCTTTGGAGAGACACTTTAAGACCATACAAATATCCTGCTCCTCAAAAAATTTCTCTTTATATTTAATATCCGTTGATGATTCTTGCTTGGAACAACTTTATTATATTGGTTGCAAAATAATGATTTTCCAACTCCAACACTCTCTCATCATTTGCTAATTAGAAGTTGGTACTCTACTGTAAGCTAGAACTTTCCCTTCTCCCCTATTTATTGATTTGTCTGTTATCGTTATGGATTCTATTTTTTCAATGGTGTTTATAATTCATTACTGTTCTTAATTATTTTGGTGCCCAAATTGTCTCAGATTTGGCCAGTAGGAGTCCCTTGAAGCTGGCTCCTGTGTCCTTGTGACATGCCTCTTCATTTTTTTTGCTGCTAGGTGTGCTATTCCTACTCAGGTGTCTTTACTTCTAGGCCCTTTCAGCAGAGTCTGTATATATATGCGTGTATATACACATATACACACACATATTTGTAATTATATATACGCACATTATGTACACATATATAGATACATAGATATATGTATATAGTATATATGAATATATGTTTTTATTCTAGAAATCATAGATTTCACACTGATACCTTAAATTTTAGGCCATATAAGATAATTTTTTTTTTTAGGCCATCTAAGATAATATTTTTAAGTGGGGATAAAAACAAGGGAGAATAGTAAATATAGTATTTTCCCATTTGAATAAAATAGGGGGATCAAATACATGATTGTCTATGCCTGGATCACTTCAGGAAGGATATATAAGATACACAAGAAACTGGTTGAAGTGCTTGCCTCCTGGCTAGAACTGGAGGCCGGGCGGTAGTGGTGAGAGGAAGACTATTTTTCTATTTAGATAGACTCTTTTTCTGTTTGAATTTATTATCACCTACACATATTACTTGTTCAAAACAAACCAAAAACCCCACTTTAATTTGACATTGCTTTGAGAAAATATTTAACCCATCTCAGTAAAAACTGATCATCTCAGACAAGGGATTTTTCTGTTTACTTTTTCACTCTTATTTTCCCTCTTTTGGTTCCATTTTATATTGATAATCATATTTCTTAAAATACTTTCTTTCCACACTTTGGGTAATAACCAGACTCAAAATAAATTTCCCGTTCTATTTTAAATACTTATTTTAAAATATTTGAGTGTTTAAGGAAGTGTGAACCATGTGTTTCTTATTCTGTTTTGCTGAGTTGGATAACAATTAATATTGGGGAAGAGATGATGACTTACAAGAAGTTAATGAACTTCCTTAATCCTCATAAGTTTTCTTCCCCTTCAGAGATGGAGACTAGTCAGTTGCTTCTTGTTATCAAAAAGGTTTAAAGTTTGAACTGAGCATTTGACCAAATGTCGTCCATGTTTCCCGGGCTGTGTATAAAACACATCTCTCCAGGTGAGACTATGTCTACAGATACACATGGGATTTATGCTCTGCTCTCACCTGGTGCATCTTTACTAAGGAGAGAATGAACATCTACTTCATCTTGATATTACGTCTTCAGCTACTTCTATTTGTGGTAGTGTATGTTGATTCCTTACTCATCATACTTTTCATTTTAAACTTAAAATCAGCTTGTTAAAAAGCTGTCAGTCATCCAATCTATGGGCACGTTTAGTAGGGCACTTTTTTTTTTTTACTAAATTTTTTTTTTTAGGAAGATTGGCCCTGTGCTAACATCTTTTGCCAATCTTTCTCTTTTTTCTTCCTTTTTTTTGGGGGGGGGTCACCACCACAGCATGGCTTGATGAGCGGTGAGTAGGTCTGCACCCAGGATCTGAAGCGGCGAACCCCGGGCCGCTG